TAAGAAAACATTTCACTAAAGCAGCATGGTATTTCCAAAAAGAAAATACAGAGTTCTCATTTACCTGCATCACGATAAATAGACTCAACACCACATCTCAACCCAAAACCTTAAGATGTTAGATTTATGGGTTCTTTTATTAATATGATCATCATTTAGTCCATTTCTAACCAAAGTGGGACTTCATTACTTACATTTGGATCCAAACATTCCTCCTCCTCCCCCTCAAGTGTGAGTCCAGCCCACATCTGCCACCCCTCAAGCAGAAGCTTTTTTGAGTAATCATGGGATTATATCATAGCTTAACTGCACTCATCAAGTCCTTGTCTAACATGAAAGGTTACATCAAGACTTGGCTACACTCATCAAGATCTTGACTCCATATTATGAGTTTGGAAGACTTACAAACCCAAATAGTAACCATCATGGCTTGACTGCACTCATCAAGTCCTTGTCTAACATGAAAGGTTACATCAAGATTTGGCTACACTCATCAAGATCTTGACTCCGTATCATGAGTTTGGAAGACTTACAAACCCAAATGCTAACCATCAATGGGCAGTCAAGAGAGCCCATGGTAGGGGAGAACTACCATCAATGGGCTAAGCAACAATCCACCACAATAAGTGGCCTTGACACCATATCTCAACCAAAAACCTTAAGGTATAAAGTTTGTGGGTCCTCCCACTAATATGATCCTTACTTAGTCCATTTGTAACCAATATAGGACTTTACTACTCACACTTGGATCCCAACACATTTTACTAAAAAAAACAATAAAGAAAAATGCCAGCACCTATATGGAACCTGCAATGCAGTTTGGAATCCAGATTTATCATACAAAGCTCCATATGTTGCAAGATCTTCCTCTGCGAACCAAGATGGAAGAGGAGTAGCTGGTTCCACCAAATCCATGATCTCCTGGTTTTCCAGAGCTATTGGTAATTCACTTCTTGAGAAGAGGATGTAAATATTTCGCACAACAGTTTTTGCATCAAAGCGTCCAAAATCAGCCTCTGCCCTTCCTGGTTCCTGATATGGACAGAAACATAGTTATGATGATATTAACAATCATTATGGCTGAGAATCAAAAGGAACTTAAAACTACCCGCCATCTCGAAATTTAGAAGCCTTCAGGAAGGTATTTGTGATACATAGAGGGGCGTGGTGGAACATATGGAACACCCAACGTGACAACTCCCAAGACCCTTTCTGGGTGTAGAATGGAAAATATATATGCAGGACTAGCTCCAAAATCTTTCCCAACAAGAAACACCTATATAATATAATATACATTGAAAAGAGAATTAGGCAAACATAGATAGGTAGCTAGATGCTCAGACTTAAAGAATTCTTCAAGTTTTCTTGGTATATAAGGAATAATAAGTATGATTATGCTCTCCACCCTCACGAGGAACTGAGACTCTCAAGAATCGAATCCATTACCTTTGGACAGGTTAAATCCTACCTTTTAGGTGGGTTGCCATTAAATCCACAACTCTTGGTGGTATTTATTTAACATTGAAAATAGATTAAATAATGGAAAATCAAGTAAAAATTTATATGTTGAGTTCACAGTTAATAATTTTTATTTTTATTTTTTTGATACATGTAGGAATTGAAAACATAACCTAATACAATCTACTCAAAACCCCTCACCAACTAGAGCAATCTTAACGGCTTTCTGTTAATATTCGATATAAGTGTAAAATCTGAAATTCCATTAGGTAGATAAAAAATTTACACCACTAACAGTATCATAATTAAAAGTTTACCTCGAGAAAAACAGAAACACACTAAGTACCAGCAAAGCATAATATAAAAAAGCAAAATTTTACTAATTTACATCCAGAATATTGAAATAATATAAGGTTTTTATATTTATCCCAACTTTACTTTTTAGTAAGTTCATGCAGCTCATGCCTCAAATATTAAAGGATAACTTTACATGAAAAAAGAGAGAAGAAAGACAATGATCATGTAGAGATGGTGTGCGTGTTTTTTTTTTTAATGTGTAAAGTGTTATTTATGCGGATTAATTTTCTCATTTTACGTGAGAAAATTTATAACATGAGAAAATTTTCAAATGTAAAATAAGAAACTTATTTCTAAATGTTTATGGTTTGTTTTTTCTATAGTCAATGTAGATAACTTATCTACATTAAGCCCAAGAAGATGTCGTTTTAAGGCAAAAATCAAGGTATTTTTATAATTATAATTTATTTCAGGTTATAATAGTATTTTTCATTATAATTTTTTAATTTCTCAACTCAAAATGACGTCGTTTTGGTAATGAAGGTAAATAACTTATCTACATCCATTAAATCCATTATTTATATAATATAACCATGAAAACTACGAAAAAATAAACTATTCTTTTTCACTGTAGATAATTTATCTACATTGAACCTATAACCATGTTTAGATGAAAATTAAGATATTTCTGCAATTATAATTTATTTTAAAATTATAATAATTATTTTTATTTTTTGATTTTTCAACTCAAAGTGACGTCGTTTTAGGTTTGAATGTAAATAACTTAATCCAAAAATAAAATAAAAATAGTGAACCTTGGAAAGAGCAAGAGCATCAAGAATTGCAAGGAGGTCAGTGAGAAGATCAGAGTAGGTAGCTTTGTCGGGTTGAGGCGGCGGGTCGGAAAGACCGTATCCTCTGTAATCGGGTGCGATAGCTCTGAATCCGTTATCCGCAAGGGCAATCATCTGGTGGCGCCAGGAGTACCATATCTCTGGGAACCCGTGCAGGAATACGACGGCGTTTGGACCTGAAAGACCGGAAAAGAAGGGCGTTGAATTTTGACTGATAAGTAACAGCATAAATAAAATGAAGTGGTGTCCAGTGGATTCTAACCGGTTCCGGCTTCTGCTATGTGGAGTTTGAGAGCGCCAACGTTGACAAACTTGTGTTGGATTTGATCCATGAATCAGATCGAGCTTCCTCTGTGTTGCTGTCTGTTACACTCTTAACAATAGTCAATGGTCACTTGGCACTGTCGGAAATACTAAGGATAATTCAAAATTTAAGTACAATTTAAAGAAGTTATGTAAAATTAATTCGAATAAAAATTAAAGTGATTAGTTTGAAAAATGCATAAAAATATTTAAAAATATATATAATTAATTTAAAATTAACATGCTATAATAAATTAGGGGATAGAGTATCCTTACTACTGAAAAGTATTGCAGTTATTACTACTAAATTACTCACCGTTGATTTCCGTCAATCATCACCGTTGATTTCCGTCAATCTAACGGTTGTAATTTATTGAGTACACTTATTAATTAATTATAATTTTGAATAAATTATAACATTTAGATTGGCGAAAATCAATAGTGATTAGTTTAGTAATAGGAGTTGTAAAACTTTTCAGCAGTAAGTATAACTACCCCCATAAATTAGTTTTAGGATTAAGTATTTGTCATTTTAAATGACACAACTTTGTGTCATTTTTTAATGAAAACACTTAACCCTGTTTAAGGGTTAATAATAGGGATAGATTATATTTACAAATTTTTTGTTTGCAAATTACATTATGTACTCCCTAGAGTACATTCTTAACAGAGTTTACTCGTGGGAGTACATAGTGTAGTTTGTAAGAGTTTGTGAATAAAAAGTTTATAAATATAACCTTCCTCTTAGTAATATAATCAATGTTGTGAAACTTGGCCCGACCCGGCGAACCGATCATCTAACCGGTTCAGGTCAAGTATTGGACCAGTCATGCATCAGACCTAATCAAATCTGATAAAAATCCGGCCAAATCCGAACAAAATTGACCAAACCCGATCAAAACCGGTGACACACTCGGGTCATGGATTTTTATAAAAAATAAACCAAAAAACTAAAATTGTTTCATTTTGATAGGAAAAAATATAGAACTCATTTCAAAAAAAAAAAATTGTAATTTTATTTGCTAGTATAATTTTCTATAATGACTTAAAATTTCAGCTTCCAATACTCAAATAATTTGCGGAACAATAAATTAAGAGAATATAATATATGTCATTTCAATGAATTTGAAAAATATGATTTCAATGTCATTGAGAGGTATGATTAAGGAGATTTTGAGTTGTAATTTAAATTGACATAGTAATTACGTGCATTTTCATTTATTTGTGTTTCATGAACTTGTAAAAGTGTGATTGAATAATTTTTGAGCTTATTTAGTGAATATTGTTTAATTCATTTTAGATATAGAGAATATAATTAAATTTATACATTTATATTTTTATATATTTATATATATATATCCAAATTAACCGGTCTGGCTAGTGACCCATCGATCCGATTAATGACCCAATTACCTAATACCTCGACCGGATTGATACCCGGGTTGAGTTTAATAACACTAAAACATAAAACATAAAGTTCTTATTGTTTAATATATGTCTTTACTTTCAAAACAAAACCAAAAAATATTTATCTATAATAAAACTACAAATAAAATTTATAAATAATGCATTTTTCATCATTATAATGATTTTATTTCTTTCATTGTTGGATAAAACTTCCATAATTGAAATTTGTTTTTAAAACGTGCATGTAAGAATTTGTCTACTCTTTTTATAAATAAAACTGCATCGAAATTTTAAACTATTAAAATTTAAGCATATTTACTTCCTTTAAAAGATAACTCATTTTAAAATTGTTTTTCCTTTTATCATTATATTATTAATTACAAAAGTAGTAATTTAATACAGGGTTTGACGTTTGTCAATGACATAAGTTATATTATTTTAAGAGAAAGTTAAATACAAAAAATAAAAATTATGGGAGAGAAAATAAATGGTTTTTTAATATAAATTTTAAATAAAAATATTATTTTATGTCTATATTTATCTTAAAATGTCATAATTTTATGTCATTTAAAATGATAAATAATTTTCCCTTTAATACGTTATCTTATAAGACAATAAATTTCTCTCTCTTTTAAGTTTATTTCTCTCTGTTTTTTATTGAGGCTTTGCTAGAGGAGAATAATAAACCCAAACTAGACGTAGCAGAAACTTGAAGCTGAGTGAGAAACAGAGAACAAGCTTCTTCTATGTCTTCTTTGTCTCTCTGACACCATCAATCTCAAATCATTTTTTGCTAGGTGTTACCATTCCTTCATTTGTCATCTTATTTTTCCATTCATTTCGTTTCGCTTTATTTTTCATTTTTTCATTTTTATTTATTATTATTATTATTTGCAGACATTTGATTATGATGGGTGGAAAGCATAGAATTCTGATGGTCTCGGATTTTTTCTATCCTAACTTTGGTGGTGTCGAGAATCACGTGTATTACCTCTCGCAATGCTTGCTCAAGTTAGGCCACAAGGTAGGTCCCTGAAACCTTTTTGATTTCAATTTTGTGCTTACTGCTTAACCCTCTTCATATCAAAATTCATATATTCTCCTTTGTAATTGTATACTCTGATCATGTTCATAGACATTGCTTTTAAACCTTTTAAATTTCACTCTTTTAATGTTTTTCACAAGTAACCGCATGGGAGTTCTAAGACCTTTCTCTCCTTCATGCTATATTATTATATTATTGGTACTTCATACTGTCATAGAGAAATTGACTTTTATTTTCTTTGTTCCTTTCCTTAACTTATATCAGATTTTTTTCATGTGTTAATTACCCTTCCATTCCCTGTATTTTGTGTTTACTATGAAGACCTTTTTTTTGTTATGAAAGGATTCTTGTATTTATGAAAAAAAACTAAGAAAAAATGCAACCTGTTGTCATATGGCTCCCCTTCATTTATGAAAAAATGCTACAACTATAAAATGCTGTCAGGTTTGACGGCAATTTGAATTGAGTTTTAGCTTCTTCTTCTTCTTCTTTAAAAGTGTGTGTAGGTTTTCATATCAGAATTTGGGTTTACTTAGTAAATGCAAGCTATAGAATGGGGAATAATTTGCTCTTTTTTCCAACTTGTGCTGTGGTAATTTGTAACATTTTGAACTAAAAGAATATGACTATTCAGGTGGTTGTTGTAACTCATGCTTATGGAAATAGATCTGGGGTTAGATATATGACCGGTGGTCTGAAAGTCTACTATGTTCCATGGAAACCTTTCTTCAATCAGAGTACATTTCCAACCTTGTATGGGATACTACCGGTTATAAGAATGATTCTTATTCGAGAAAGAATTACTATAGTGCATGGACATCAAACCTTTTCGACGCTTTGTCATGATGCTCTTTTGCATGCCAGAATCATGGGATACAAGGTTGTGTTTACAGATCATTCACTGAATGGTTTTGGTGATGTTGGAAGCATCCACATGAACAAGGTGTTGCAGTTTACCTTGGCAGATGTGAGTCAAGCCATCTGTGTTTCCCATACAAGCAAGGAGAACACGGTCTTGAGGTCAGGTTTGTCACCAGAGAAGGTTTTTGTAATTCCTAATGCTGTTGATACTGCCATGTTCAAGCCAGCATTGGAGCGTCCCAGCAGATTGGAAATTGTTATTGTTGTTATTAGTCGATTGGTTTACCGTAAAGGAGCAGACTTGCTTGTTGAAGTCATTCCAGAAGTATGCCGATTACATCCCAATGTGAGTTGTTGAAAAGAATGTTAGTTTGTTTTTCATAACACAATCTAACATGGAGTTAATGGCATTAAGTTAAGGCCTCTTTGGGAATGCTTTGCCTTTTTGTTCTGGTGCTGCTTGACAGCAATAAGCTGCAAAATGTGTTTTTGGTAAGATTTTTCAAACGGTGCTTATTCTGGTGCCCTCTAAAAGTCATAGATGCTTTTGAGAAACACCTAAGGGCTGCTTTCAAAACTGTAGATGCTGTCACATACATGAAATTCCTATAGAGTCCTACCTTTTCTGCGATTCTAGCTTCATAATTTCTAATTTTGTACTGAATCTATTAAATTTTATAATTTCTTCTTTTGTAATTTCGGATACTTATAGTTTACCATAATTTTAACAAATATCTTCATTCATGGCACTTTAGAGAAGCCTTTTTCAAATCTTCACCAAAAACAAATTTGAATGCCTTCAGCAACTGCTTTATCACAAAATCTATAGTACGTACCTTTTGGAAAGCAGAAGATCCCCTTACGAAGCCTTTCCAGGTTGCTTTATGATAATTGGAGAAATACTGAACAAATTTAATGCAAAACCAGAAACTGTTTAGTTTATATTTTGCTTATTTTTTCATTTATTTGTTATCTGTAAAATTTTATCTGCTTAGCTGAACATGCCTGAAAGAGCATCTAATTTTCAAGTTTCTGCTTAAATAGACAGAGAAGCATCCCCTCCCCATACAAAAGAAAAAAGATGTTTGAATAGACAAAGTTACTTGGAAATGCTTTCAGACTGTTTACAGTTAGTATAGAGAGATATTTAGTGATCTTTCAAAGATAGATTACATTGGCCTATGTACGTGTCAACTGACCTTTGACAAAAAAGTAATATGGTCAGCCTACTGTATGTGCATATAAAAAACAGTGCTTTTTTAAGTATATTCTTACAATCTTTCGTGTGATCTTAAATCTTTGTAAAACTCAATTTTTTGAAGTCAAAACTCAGATGTTTCGTGTGTATCTGTCACCACTGTGATGTAAATTTTTGTCCATTGACAGAGAGCAACGTCTTTGCTTTTACTATTTTTGTCCAATGATTCCAGTATTTTTGGTCTCTCAGCATCTTATGTATGTAGTTTTACTATTTTATTGATTTCCTTATGTTGGACCATTGTAAATAATGCACCAAGAGAAATATATACAGCTTGAAAGAATTATAATTTTTATATTTTGTTTTTTGTTGGTTTTGTTTTGTTCTTTTGTTCTTTTTTTGTTCTTTTTATTGTAGACTTTCAAAGGCATAACTTATATATCCATTTGAAGGTTCGTTTCATTATTGGAGGTGATGGACCTAAGCGTGTGCTGTTGGAAGAGATGAGAGAAAAGCATTCTCTTCAAGATCGAGTTGATTTGTTGGGAGCCGTACCCCATGCACAAGTCCAGTCTGTTCTAATATCTGGGCATATCTTCTTAAACAGGTTCATCTTTCTCAAAAAGTTTTCCCTTTCTTTAAATTTTGTGGTGATGAGTTTATAATTCTGTAATAATTTGTAATGGTTGGTCTGAACATCTACACTTTTTTTTGCTTTTGTTGGTAATTCACTATTGACTATTCAATGTTCACTACCATAGAGCATTGTTGGTCTTGCAGATATTCAGTTGAATTTTCCTTTGACACGGTGTTAAAAGTAATTTCCATAATTTTTGGCTTCAAAAATTAGGTGGACAATGAAGCCACTTTAAGTGGCTGAAGCTTAAATAGTAATTTACTAAAAGCATATCAACCTTTTAAAATTTCCTTCTGTTCTCATCTGGCACATGCTTCTCAGCTATAGGTTTGAATAAAACCATTAAGAAAAGAGAGAGGAAAATATGAGATTTGAGGGATTGATTCTATAAATCACTGAGGTGGCTGCAAAGAGCAGTTTAGTTTTTGCCCCCTTCATACAGTTGAGAGTGATGGTCCATTCACACAATTTTCCTTGACGAGGGTTGTGCACTAGTTGGTAGTACGATCTCCATAGCATTTGGGAGAAAGGTCATATTCACATCCAATCCAACCTAGAGGTGTTTGGCACCCATAGAATGTGGACACAAGTTCACTCTAACTTGTGAGCATAAAAGCTTGAAGAACCCCAAAATGACTGTTGCTACTTTCTACTTTTTGCTTATGTACTGTTTGGTTGGTTCATATAGCATACAGTCAATGCTGAATCTTGCACATGCTGATCCATGACATGAATCCACTTCAAACATACAAGATCTGATCCAAGCTAGTTTGCATTACAAGTATATAGAAGTGGGTAATTACCAATGAAGTCAAAAAAAAATCTCCAAGAGAGCCCAAACAGAAGAACAACTTCAAGTTTAAGTCCAAACAGAAGCAAAATTATTAGATCTGCAAAAAAAGAAACTAAAAAAATGTCAAAAAATCTGCAACTTGAGGCAAAAAACACTCATACGCACAACCAAACGTTGTTGTAGAAGCCTCTGAACGTCCCAAACAGCAACAAAAAAAATCAAATCCGATCAAAAGAGGCACGAGTGGCCAAAAATATCCAATTTTTATGACAAGTAGAGGTCCATAAACGTCCCAAACAGCAAAAAAAAAAGAGTCAAATCTGATCAAAGGAGGCGCGAATGGCCAAAAAGATCCGATTTTTATGACAAGATCAAAGACCCACTCCTAGAAACGTCCATAGATTGGTAGATCTGGAAAAACGGAGTCAAACAATGGTCCTCTTGGTCCAAAAGGTCATTGGAAAAAATTTTCTGTTGTGGTGAGAGGCTAACAAATAGGGTTCCACTCTAAAGGCGGCAGTTGCGGAAGCAAAGCCCTCAAGATCGAGAGCTCTGAAACCAACTTGAAAAGAAAGAACTTCAAAAGTAGTATTGTATTATGTGAAAATTGTATATTACAAATGTACAAGAGCTCTCTATTTATAGAGACTGAATGACTTAATAGGCTAAGTCCAAAGAAGATTCTAGAATGAAAAATAAATAAAAATAAATAATTACAATACAATTATTTACAATATATCTTTTCGAATTTGAAATTATTGATTTCAACTTTAAAATATTAAGGACATAAACTTTATCAGCTTCTATGTCCTTTGGGCTTTAAATTCTTGTTCTGAGTTCTATCCAATATTATTTCTTTTGATCCTGTTGTCCAAACTGATTTTTGCACTGTTTCAGTTCCTTAACAGAAGCTTTTTGCATGGCTATATTAGAGGCTGCTAGTTGTGGATTGTTAACTGTCAGCACACGCGTTGGAGGTGTTCCTGAGGTAGGTACCACAGGTATTCTTTCTATACGTGTTCGGTATGAGTAAAAATGTTTTTTATAGAGTTTTTCTTTAAGTAATTTTCTTATGAACTTCAGTTTCTTGCTGACTCCACAATTTGGGAGAACTATCATGCGGTATTTGACATAGACGCACTTCATTGCTAGGTATTACCAGATGACATGATTGTTTTGGCTGAACCTAATCCCAGTGATATGGTGCATGCAATCCAAAAGGCAATATCTATGCTGCCAAAAATTGATCCTCAAGTCATGCACAATCGAGTGAGTTTGTAGTCTAAATGGCCTTTTTCTGTTGCCTACAGTGGGACAATTGGTTACTCTTTATTTATTTATTTATTTTATGTAGATGAAGAAACTCTACAACTGGCATGATGTTGCCAAAAGGACCGAAATTGTATATGATCGAGCTATGAAGTGCTCCAATCAAAATCTACTAGAATGTCTCTCGCGGTACATACTTTCATAGGTTCAATTTGATTCCAACGGCAACACTTAATTGTAAAAGGAAGTCCACTGTTCAGTGTTTCAATTATGTGATTTTTCTAATTACTTTAGCATAAAATTCTTCAACTTTCTTGTATAACATAAGCTGGTGGTAAAACAATGTATTTTGGGATCTTTATGTGGTAAGCTACAACTTTGGCAATTATTTTGCTGGTATAAGTAGTTCAGGTGTAAAACCAATACCTAATCTAGGAGGAGGAACATGAATCTAATTATTTCTAACAGATTTTCTGCTTGATTGAAGTGGTGTGAGCTTAATATCAAAATATATTTTCTGTAATGAATAAAGGAACTCATAAATATCAGTAGCTGCTTCTCTAATTGCTGATTGTCTGTGTTCTTTTAGATATCTCTCTTGTGGAGCATGGGCAGGCAAGCTCTTTTGCTTGGTTATGATCTTAAGTTTTGTGTTTTGGCATCTACTGGATCTATGGCAGGTAGGGTGGTGGTGGTGGTGTTGTTGTTGTATTTGTTACACATTTTCTGCTTATTCATGTTTTCAGGAGTTGCATTACTTGTGTGTTTCCATTATTAGCCTGCAGATGATATTGAGGAGGTGCCAGATGTTATTCTTTCACACAACAATGATGGAGAGATGTTGCAGAAAACCCAAGAATGACACATGAGGAGCATGATAGATTATTTTGTTGAATTCCCAGATCTTGAAATGGAGATAATCATGTCCTTTTCATGGTTTTTTTTAATAAAAACTGCATGAAATCTACATCCTAAAGAATATTTCGTTGTATAGCAAAATAGTAATGAGAACAGCAAATGTGTGCTTCATCGTAGATTATGAACTTTATAAAACTGCAGAGGATCCTAATCAAGGTGTTTTATTTATTTATTTATTTTATTTTTAATAAGGTGCAAATAACAAATAGAATGCAGTGAATTCTGCTAAAAATAAAATAAAATAATGCAGGGGTGTTCGCTGGATTCTCATTAACGTTGACGAACTTGTATCGGGTTTGATACACGACCGTGAATGAGACCGAGCGTCTTTCTGTGTCTGTTTGTCTGAACAGTTACCACTGTACATACATGTCATAGTTCTAAGATTTGTGTTCAATAGCCACTTGGCACTGTGTTGTAATTGTAAAGCTATTGCAGATTCTTTAGGGAGTGAAGGGAAGAGAAGTATTAAAAAGAACGAAAATTGTGGGCGTGAAATGTTTTTTTTATCCTTGCATATCTCATGGATGAGAAATTGGAAGGTAATTAAAATTAAAGAATCAATAATTTAACATTTGTTAAGTTGATTATCTATTCATAAACTATTATTGTAACTTCATATTTTAATTGTGATTTCTACGATTTAGTGTATAGTTCATCTTGATTATTTTATTCAGTAAACATATTATTCTCAAGCATTTTAATTACAAACTATTTTTAAGTTAATAAAATATTTCAGCCACTTAGTATTTATAGAAGATACATAAAACGAGATGTGGTTAATCCTTTACAAAATGATTTCACACTATAAAAGTAGCTATAATTAATTAAGTTAAATAACCATAAAATAATTTGTGTATCAAATTTTTTACTTTAATCAAACAAGACAAGTGGTATCAACTTTAGTGTCCGTGAGTGGGGAAGGTTCCAAGTTCCAACTGAAGCAATTACTGAAACAGCACTTCTCTATTCACAGATCACAGCCAATCGCTTGTTTCCTATCTGTAAGCCTTCTCTCTCTCTCTCTACAACTTACGATAGTTTACTTTGTAACAGCATAGGATTCGAAACATTGTAATCTTCCATTCGGAATACAAGTATCATCAATCAAACCTTAGTTTTTTATTTTTTATGATCAAACCCACAATCTCTTAATTGTAAACAAAAAAAACATACTCAAATTTCAAGTCAAACCCGTTGAGCCATCATCTTTATCTTTCATTACTATATTGTCCAAGGTGGTGAATTTCGCTTCTACTGCATCTTTTTTAACATCAAGCTTAGTGATCTATCAATTATTTCATTCAAATATTCCTACTTTCAACAACTACTTTCGACTATACCCAGATCTTGTTGTTTCTTTCTTTCTATCTCTTTTGACTCCTCTGATCCAGGTTTTGCTTCTGTGTTCATATGATTTTGGATTTCTGAAGAATATTTAAGGGACTCTATGATTTGTCTTTATTAGAAAATAATAAAAACACCTTACTGAAATTAGACCTGAAGAAAGTACTTTGCTTGTTGATTTTAGTTATGATTTTCGTTGACTTGAGAACTGATTTGTGTGGGAATCAAAGTCAAATCTTCAACGCTAATTCGATTTCTACCCCTCCTAATACAGTATACCCATGTTGCTGCACTGAACATTATTGTATATATGCTTGTTAACCTTGCATCATAACTGCTACTTGTGTTGTCATGCACCCAATTAAAAGCTTTGTGTATGTTTATTTCCATCTGCAACTGTCATATGGGTTAGTACTTAGTATCGAGTTTGGTTATGGATGTTTTGTGATATATGCAGGAGGCAAAACAATTATGGCGGATTTAGAAAATTTGCTTTTGGAGGCTGCAGGAAGAACTGGTACAGCTGGGAGAAATAGGCATTCTCTCCCACCTTCAAGGAGAAGACGTGATGGTTCTTATTCAGATGGTGGGAGTGATTCTAGGGATGATGATTCGGATGATGAGCTTAATTATGCAAGCAGAAAGCCATCTGGACCACAAGTTCCTCTGAAGAAGAGATTAGATCCCTCAGAAAGAGATGATGATTTGGGTAGTCAAGAAGAAGCTGATGATGATGCTGGTGGTAGTGATCATGAGGGTGATAGCAGTGATGAATCGAATATTGGTGATGATCTCTATAAGGATGATGATGACAGGAGGAAGCTTTCTGAGATGACTGAACTTCAAAGAGAGATGATCTTGTCTGATAGAGCTATGAAAAAGGATGATAAAAATTTATTGGGGAAGATAGCATCAAAGCGTGAGAAAGGAAAGGCAACAGTGCCTGGAAAACAGTCTCCACCGTTGTCATCATCTCGTGTGCGTTCATCAGCCAGATCTGCAGACAGGGCAGCCAAGAATGATGCATTGAATGAATTGCGCGCTAAGCGATTGAAACAGCAAGATTCAGGCAAACTGAGAGAGACATCTAGAAGTTCAGGTCCCAGACATTATTCCCCACCAAAGCGCAAAGCTTTCACTTCAGCAAGTCTCAGTAGTTCAAGCCACAGTGAGAGTGACAGTAGGTCTCACAGTGATGATGAAGGGTCAACTGGGGATGGAGGAATTGGTGACAGTGATGATGATAGGGCGTTGTCTGGGTCTGAGGGACCATCATTTCAGGATATTAAGGAAATAACTATCCGCAGGTCAAAACTTGGCAAATGGTTTATGGAGCCTTTCTTTGAGGAGTTAATAGTTGGTTGCTTTGTGAGAGTTGGGATTGGTAGATCAAAATCTGGACCTATCTACCGGCTCTGCATGGTGAAAAATGTTGATGCCTCAGAACCTGATCGACAGTATAAATTAGAGAATAAAACAACATATAAGTATTTGAATGTTGTTTGGGGAAATGAAAGTTCTGCTGCTAGGTGGCAAATGGCTATGGTTAGTGATTCTGCTCCTCTTGAAGAGGAGTTCAAACAGTGGATTAAGGAGGTAGATCGAAGTGGTGGCCGGATGCCAAGCAAACAAGATGTGTTAGAAAAGAAACAAGCCATACAAAAGATCATCACATTTGTCTACTCAGCAGCTACTGTGAAGCAGATGTTACAAGAGAAAAAGTCTGCCTCATCAAGGCCACTAAATATTGCTGCTGAGAAGGATAGGCTGAGGAGGGAATTGGATATAGCACAAAGTAAGAATGATGAGGCAGAAGTAGAGAGGATCAGGACAAGGCTGCAAGAATTAGATGCATCCAGGAAAACACACGAGAAGGATGCCAAGGCTTTGAAGTTGGCTGAGATGAACAGAAAAAACAGGTTTGAGAACTTCAAGAATGCTTCTGAATTGAAGCCAGTGAATACAGGTTTGAAAGCAGGTGAGGCAGGTTATGATCCATTTTCAAGGAGATGGACTAGATCAAGGAATTACTATGTTTCAAAACCTGGTGAAAAGGTTGCAGCTGGAAATAGTAGTGCCAATGGCATAGTGGCTGATGCTGGCAACAATGGAACAGGAGCACATGCTGGAATGGTGGCTACTGCTGCCGCCTTGGTAGCTGCTGCCGGTGCCGGGAAGTTAGTGGATACAAGTGCTCCAGTGGATCAAGGGACAGAGTCAAATATGCTGCACAATTTTGAGCTGCCAATTTCATTAGCATTACTTCAAAAGTTTGGTGGAGCTCAAGGAGCTCAGGCAGGATTTATGGCAAGAAAACAAAGAATAGAAGCAACAGTTGGACTTAGAGTCTTGGAAAATGATGGCAGGAGGCATGCGCTGACACTGACAGTTAGTGATTACAAAAGAAGAAGAGGGCTTCTTTGAAATTTTTTTGCTGCCCTTGATGTATGCCAGCTGAGGTAAGTTTACGGTTCTGCAAGCCAAAGATGGTTTGTGTTGTATTGACTGTAATATTGTTGTGTCCTTATTGTGTCTTGATCTTTTCATAAGTGGTCATGTATCCATATCTTTTTTATTCCTCAAATGTTAAACAATAAATATATCTGATAAATGCAAGTCTATATGATTTAACATTGATTTTTAACCGATGATTGGAAGTTAAAGGGAGAGCATGATGAATGCCTAGAATATCAGATATCGTGATGAAATATTAATGCAAATTATTTATCCTCTAAGACCATAATTGTCTAGGAGTTTTTTTTTTTGAGATTGTGGTTGCTATCACGGCAATATTAGCTATCTCATTGTATAGATGATACATAGGTACCAAATATGATTCGTATCAAAATATGGTGAAATGCAAGTATAATGGCAGCTGAAATCATAATGTTACTAATGAACTAAAATAGAGAAATATATGGTGGAAGCATTCATGGTATAATTCTTTTGATGGATGAAACCTTACCATCAGAAAAGCCAAACATGTATTTGCTTTGTTTATTTGCTATGGCAACCAGAAAGAAAGAAATGTCTGATACGAAATGTCATTACCCACTTGCTTTCAACTTGCCATATAAACCGGGATTTCTGGGAAAGTTGAAGAAGCAAAAAAATTATGCATTCCTCCCCCACAAAAGAAAATGAATGCTACTTGTGAATATCAAAGTGCTTGTTTGTTTGGCTGAGTTGTTATTATTTTAATGGGATAAGTTATTCTGCCTACTCTTAATTTGACTACCTTTACTTGCTCCTCTCTAGATTATAATCCCATCCAACGATAGAGATTTGCAGGATAAAATAAACTCTTTTACCTTTTTCTTTCTCCTCACTACCTCTCTCCCTTTCTCTCTCCTCCCCTCTCTCTCTATCGACGAAGACAGAGATAGAGAAAGCATATACGATCGAAATCCCTTGTGAGTTTAAATTAGTTTTTTGTTCACATCTATTTATTATGATTTTGGTAAAATAGTTATGTTGAACACGGTTGATGCCCAAGATGCCAATGGTATTACATTTATTCGAAAACTAAATCCCTAATTTTCTCTCTCTTCAACGGAGCTTCAAAATGCAAGCGACTCGACAAAATCGCATGAGGATGAAATCAACGAATTGGCCGAAGATCCACAATTAAATAATAATGCGAATTTGACATATATGATTAATTAGCAAGCTCTAACAAAATTCGAAATAATATAACTTACAATTCTGTCAAGGGAAAGATGATTGTTGGCGAAAGAGATACACCTTTTAAATTTCGAATTTGTGACTCTGTCCTTTATAAAATTCTAAAATTGATGGTAGGCTTGACAAAGATGATGGTCGCCGAGGGGATGAGAGGAGAAAGGGTGGGAGGCAGTGAAGAGAAAGAAATTGATAAAATGATTTATTTTATCTTGCAAATATTGAGGGGTAGGCAAAGGTAAACAAATTAAAAGTAGACAAAATAAATAGGAACATGATATACTTATCATCAAAAAAAGTTTACTACCTTTACAACTAACCTAATTTCTGTCAATCTAACGGTTATAATTTGTTGTATTTATTGGAAATTAATAAATAACTAATAAATGCGATCCAATAAATTATAACCGTTAGATTGACGAAAATCAATGGAGATTATGTTGGTTGTAAAAGGTGGTAAACTTTTTTGGTCATGAGTATATCCTTATTCAAATAACATATCCCTATTTTAAATCAATATATTTATAAAAGTTATAAAAAGAGGAAGATTACAAGCAACAATTCCAATACAAAATGGAAAACAACACTCTTTGTAACCTTGCTAAAATGGTTTGATAATTCCATAATCATAAAAAAAAAAAAAAAAATTGTTTTTGTTATATTGAGAGTCATTATAACAGTTCAAATCTGAGTTTTATATGGTCCACCATATTTCAACCACTTGAGCTGCACTACACTTGGTTTAAGATACTCGTATTTTTGTGTACAAAATTTGTGTGTGAAAAAAGATTTTCTCTTTTATACAAAATTATCTTCTTAGTACTTATCGAACAATTTTTTTGGAGTAAGTTTAAAATATTTGTTTGGGGTGAAAATTATATTTAGGAAATGGTATTATATGTTAAGAAAACCGAATTTGGAAAAAGAGAATCACGAATGATGTTGCACATTTATAGAGAACAATATACGGTTTGGAGATATATTAAGGAAAAAATTTCTTGTATCTTTATGGAGGAAGAAACATTCTTATTTTAGAAAGAATTTTTTACACCATTAATTTTTCTTTTATTCTCTTTCTCTCTTTGTTTTCATTCTTAAAACCAATTCTTACTCAGGAAATTGTAAAATCTTTTCCTATAATGGGTCATGGAGTATTAGGATGGCAGGACCCAATTTTAGAAGGACAATGCATATCAGATCAAGGATTTATTCCACATTTCATTCGTTCTTTTCACAAAATGGAATTCGTATTATTTAATATTTAATATGGGAAAGAATATATTTATAACCAAAAAAGTTTACAACCTTTATAATCAACCTAATCATCATTGATTTTCATTAATCTAACGGTTATTATTTTTTGGAAATTATTGAGTCACATTTATTAATTAATTATAATTTTCAATAAATGATAATCGTTAGATTGACAAAAATTAACGATGATTAGATTAATTATAAATATGATAAACTTTTTTGATTGTAAAGATATATCCTGTCACATTTAATATTTATCATTTCCAATATCACAACTCCACGCGTTCAGTTTGGGTATATGTATCGTGTATGAAACTCTGAAAAAATTGTCTGTCACTGCGTACTGGTATTTCAATAGCTAGTTTGTTCCTATCATTTTTTTTTTTGTTTTTTTTGTTTTTCTTGCTGAACATGTATAAAGGAAATTTAAAATTATAAACAGTGTTCTTTTTATAAACATTAACCATCTTAATATTTTTAATTTATTTATTTGACATTATTACTATATATATATATATATATATATATATATATATATAGGGTTCGCTTTTTCTGCAGTTACTGCAAATAAGTTATCTGCAGTAAGCCCAATACGACGTCGTTTTGGAGCAGAAATCATGGTGTATTTGTAATTTTAATTTATTTCAGGGTTATAATCGTCTTTATATTTATAATTTTTTAAGATTTCAATCCCAAAACGACGTCGTTTTGGGAATAAGTGCAGATAAATTATCTGCATTAACTGCAGAAATATTTTTTCCATATATATATATATATATATATATATATATATATATATATATAATGTGAAAGTTCTTTTCACTAATGGTGTAACGTGACCATTTTATAAATTTTGATTTTTTATCATATAATTAATTTTTTTTAGTTTTTGACTCTTCATTTGTTTCATTAATATCTTTCTTAAGTTTTTCATTTTTTTAACCTTAGATTTTTTAAAATAGAAATCAAAATGTATTATTTTGATAAATTTTGAATATAATATTTATAAAAAAAAATTATTCTTAATCTTGCAACTTATAATTATTAATATTTGAGGAAAGTTTAAGTGACACTGATTCGTTAGTATTTATGAGACACATAAAGAGAGTATGCGATTCTCGTTGGGGTAGGTTATACCATAAACTAAAAATATTTAAGTGATATTTTATAATTCTAATAATATTTGTATAAAATATTTGTAAATATTATATAAGATAATAATGCAAATAGAAATTTAATTAGTATATAATGTATTTAAGAAAAAGTTATCAAAATATAATTAAGATGGAGTTTGAAAATTATTTTAATTATTTAAATAAAAGAATATTTATAATTAAAATATAAAGAATATTACTATAAATTTTTTTAAGTTCAGACACGTTAAAAAAATAAAATAAATCTTTCCATTTAAATCGTGTATATAAAAATCAAAAAAATGCATTTAAATATTATTATAAATAATTGAAAAATTCATATACATTATTAAATTTTAGATGATAAGTATATTTAATATTTTAATAAGTAATATCTTTAAAATATTTTGACTACAATATTTATTATTCTACTACAAACATATGTCAATTTATATTTTTAAATTTATAAATCATATTAATTGATGATGATACTTCTAAAAATATATAGAGAAATTAACAGTACTATTATTCAGTCAATAAACAAACAGTATTATTAGGAAACATTTCGCCTCCTGAAAAGACAAATAACCAACGTGCGCCAAAACACTTGGATGTGTATCATAGAAATGCGATGTCATGTCTCGTGTGTTTTTTTGGTTCCTAAATCCAATCGAAACTGCATAAATTAAAATGCTACTTTACAATATCCTCATTAGAATGCAAAAACCATAACAATTTCAATGTTTCACTTCCACTTCACCACTTCTTCTTTCTCTCTTCTTCTTCTTCTTCTTTTTCTCTTTCTCTTCTCTTACAATTCTTTCACTCTCTTCTCCATTATTCATCTTCCTTTCACTCTCTTCTCAAACTCACAAAACAAACCTCTCCTTCTTCACTCACCACAACCATCAATAATCTCCAAATGGTCTTCTTACCACCCCACCAAGCTTTCTCCCTCAGTGTTTCTCGCACTCAAACAAGAAAATTCACCACTTTTTTCCAGCACCAGCGTGCCCTTTAATGGAAAATTCTCCATTGTCGAGAGGCACAAAAGTGGCCTCATAAGTATGCAATCAGAAGTTCACTCCTCAATGTTTCAAGCCAGAGTCAAAGCCTTCTTTGCTGGGAATTCTTCTTCTTCTTCTTCCTCTTGGTCTTCTTGCAAGGTAAGGTTCTTCATGACTTTGATTTCTCCCTTGAAAGCATTTGGTCACAGGGAATTGTTATCTGTGGAGAGCTTGTTCAAGTCTCATCCACAAGCTTGCTTGGTTATAGTCTCAAAGTCTTTGGACTCTGTCAGAGGAACAAGAATTCTAAGACCATTTTTAAATAATGGGTTCAGAGTGATGGCAATTGCACCTGATTTCAATCACATATTCAAGGATACTCATGCTGAAGCATGGTTTGATCGGTTGAATAAAGGGAATGTGAATCCGGGTGGAGTCTCTTTAGGCCAAAACCTCTCCAATTTGCTAAGGCTTGCTCTTTTGTACAAGTTTGGAGGCATATACATAGACACAGATGTTATAGTCTTGAAGAGTTTCTCTAAGCTGAGAAACACCATTGGAGCACAGAGTTTTGATGTGAAAACTGGCAAATGGAGCCGATTGAACAATGCTGTGTTGATATTTGATAAGAAACACCCTTTGCTTTTGAAGTTCATTGAAGAATTTGCACTCACATTTGATGGGAACAAGTGGGGTCATAATGGTCCTTACTTGGTCTCTAGAGTGGTCTCTAGGGTGAGTGTTTCAAAACCAGGGTTTAATTTTACTATCATACCACCATCTGCATTTTACCCTGTTGATTGGAGGGGAATTAGGAGTCTGTTTGAAGGACCTAGAGATGTGAACCAATCAAAATGGTTGGTGATGAAACATGGGGAAATTCTCAAAGAAAGCTTAGCACTGCACTTGTGGAACAGACAGAGTAAGAAGCTAAAGGTAGAAAAGGGAAGCATTGTGGATAGGGTTATATCAAGTTGTTGCATCTTCTGCAACTCCTGGAATTAAAGTTAGAAATAAAGAGTTAGAATGATTAGTTTTAGGGAAAGGATCCGTTTACAAATTTTGTTTACAAATTACATTAAGTATGACGGGTCATACACTCTTTATTGAAATATAATCGGTCATATTTACTGTAGTTTGTAAGAGTTTCTAAATAAAAGATTTATAAATATAACATTTTATATTAAAAACAATTGTATGCAATGTTTGTGTGACATTTGGTTATGGTATATGGACCAGTTGTAACTTAGTTCATTCCACTATAGGAACATGGTAGATGGTTAAAATCGAAGGGCTAGATTACATGACATATGTTATAAAGATCTGCAAAAGAACAAGATGTCAAAATTTCTGGTCATTATCTTTCTCAGAGCACTAATATCTGAAAAAGAACAAGATTCCATTATATTATTTTTCTTACGTGGTGTTCTCCTTTCTTTAATTTGTGTCCCTATAAAATTAAGCTTGTCAACTAGCTACAAGGGTCATGTGAGCATAGTAGTTAAAATTCTGATTTAAATTTGTGCTTTTACAATTTTGTTTTATTTTAATCATAATAATTTCATCAAAATTTTAAACACTTTTATATTTTTACGATTTTTTATGATTTTTTTTATATTAGAATTTTACGTTTTATAATTTCTTTGTTTCCTTCCAATTTTAGATGAAATCCCGATTTTAAATATAATGCATGTGAGCGTACAAAATAGAGTATGTTTATCGTATCACTAGCTATTTTTTTACTATTATTTTGTGTGCTGGGGGTGCTTTATTCTTTGAAATGAAAAAAAATAAAATTAAACCGGTTATGTTAAACGTTATTTGTAACAATTTCAATTCTCCACACAAAAATAAAGAAAAAGACATTCCTGAAAGCGTATGTATACATCTTTAGTAACTTTTATACATCTTTAGTAACTGTTTGTATCTTCTTATTTTTAATTTCTTTTCTTTTTATAAGTAGAAATTAGACCAAATAGGTTTTGAGAAAAAATTTTATAATAAAAAAAAATCAAAAAGTCAAAAGCTCCTAGAATGGTTTTTTTTTTTAAGTTATTATTATTTTTTCTTAAATTATATGTTTTTTTGAGATGAAGAGTCATAGAAATAGAGAGAGAAGCTTTTATTGATATGTGTAGCTTTAAACCAAAATTTTTATGTAATCACTAAATATCTTTTAATTTTTTCAAGCTTTTTTTTTAATTTTAATTTAAAAGTAGCTTCTAGTTTAAAAAAAAAATCCAAACACACTATATATTAGTTAAAGTTCAGCAGCAAATGTATAATTAGGTACACTTGCAATTGGATGAAAAAAAAATTAGAAAATTTGATTTAAAAAATAAAAAAAATTCATTAAAACCAGGCAAGATTCCAGAGTTGATACATGCGCAGCGAAGCAGAGTTGATACATGCGCAGGGAAGGATACAAATTAATGTTTAATTTGTATGCATAAACTTTCTTATCTTATCATCACACTAATATTTGTTATGATTTCATAAATTAAAATTTAACGTGTGCTTTTATTAATTATATTAAGTTCATAAACATTATTCAAAGTGGCATATGTTAAGAAATTATATGCTTCATATATTTAAATGCATGTATCTAATTATATATTAAATATTTAATTAACCTGCATGCATGATAAAATGCATTACACACACACAAAACATATACCAAAAATCGTCTTATCATCACATATTAATATTTTATACTAGTCTGGCATTGCAAGAAGCGGCGCATATTGTATTGTAACAAACTCTACAAAGGACTTCACTCTTTGAAATGACAAAATGGATTGGTGTCTTCCCACTGCAGTTATCAACCGACCCAAACTGATTCAAATCGTGGTAATCGAATCGAAAAATTAATAATTGAATAAATTGAGAATCGAAAAATCGAAAACCGAAAAAAACTGCAAATTTTAATTGGATTGGATCGATTTTAGAATTTTTGATGAAAATTGATCCAATCCAAACCGATCAAATATATTAATTTCTCTCTACCTACTTGGGCTTTCCCCAATCATGGCCCAAAAATTTCTAAAACCAAGATTCATTAATCCATCAACTAAAACAAAAAAAAAACTTAGTCACAACTCATAAACAAAATTTTATCTATGTAGAGCTTCATATTTCATTGCCCAAAAAGAAATTTATAAAGCAAATATATACAAAATATATTATTTGCACAATAATAATAAAATAAATTTTAGAATTTTCAAAAAACCGCTAACAAATCAAATCCAAATCAAAAAAAATTGAATTGGATCGGATCGGATTTGAAAAGAAATTCAAATCGAATGGATGATTACATGATCAAACTAAAGGAATTGGATCGGACAATATTTGCTTCCAAAACCGATCCAATCCAAACCGCGAACACCCCTAGTTCCAACCCATTTCAATCGGCTACCAACTCACTAAAAATGGGATGGTGTGAGATTGCTTCTTAGAAGTGAGTTAAAAATATTAATAAATATCATAATATGATGGGTCAACCCATTCTAAAAATAAAGAATAAAAGAAAAATGAACCGTTATTTTTTCTAATCCTAAACATAAATGTATTTTTAATATTCAGTCTCACGGTATTTAAAAACAACCACCTCAGATATGAGCTACATTTTTTAATATTCTTCTGTTGTCCTATTTTGTCGTCTACTTTTCTGTTATCTCAATTAAAAAATAATGACAACTCAACTCAAAATAAATTAACAATTAAGATAAAAACTATTACAATTTAAAAGGGATTTTTTTTTTCTGAATTGTCATTATTCTTGAAGAAACGAAAAAAAAAAAATTGAACCCATCTGCTTATCCAAATTAAAATGAAACATTTGTGTATAGACGCCAGTGATAGACGCCGGTGATATTTTTTAATTTTATTTTTTTAGTAGACGCCGGCAATAGGAATATGAGTGAGGTAATGAAACAAGATATATAGTATTTGTTTGAATATGTTTTTTTAAATAATTATTTTAAATATAAATTTTGAACACTAATTTTAAAAGTAAAAGAACAATAAAACTTGTTTGAAAAAGTTAGAAGTTATAAAAAAAATTATATTTATTTATAAAATCACAATTATAAAATATTTATAATTACAAAACTATCATAATAGAGTAATTTTAAATTAAAAATAAATTAAATTTATTTATGAAAGTAATATTAACAAATCCTGATAATTACAAAATTATCATCAATAATTAATTTAAAAAATAAAGAACAGTTATTATCTTGAAAACAATTTTTATAAAACAATATTTTCCAAACAATTTTAATTTTTTATTTTTTATTTTAAAAATGAAAAAAACGATAAAAATGAAAGAGGTCCATAATCTTGGATAGGAGTGTTCGCGGTCTGGATTGGATCGGTTTTGGAAGCAAAAGTCATCTGATCCAATCCCTTCGGTTTGATCATGTAATCATCCATTCGGTTTGATCTTTATTTTTAAATCCGATCCAATCCAATTTTTTTCGGTTTGGATTGGATCGGTTTTCGGTTTTTTGAATATCCTAAAATTAGTTTCATGATTATTGTACAAATAAATTCTTTTGTACATATTGGTTTTGTAAAACAAAAAATTTGAAACACAAAAATATCATTAGACGATACTATAGTTTTTTTTTTTTTGCAATGAGATATGAAGCTCTATACGGATTAAATTTTGTTCATGAGACGTGACTAGATTTTTTCTTGGGATTAGTTGAAGAGTTAATGGGTCTTGAGTTTAGAAATTTTTGGACTATGATTGAGGAAAGGACCAAGTAGGTAAAAGAGAATTAATATATTGGATCGGTTTGGATTGGATCGGTTTTCATCAATCCATCCGAAAACCGATCCAATCCAATTAAAATTTGTGATTTTTTATCGGTTTTCGATTTTTCGGTTTTCGGTTTATTTGGTTATCGATTTTTCGGTTCGATTTTTGCGGTTTGAATCGGTTGATGAACACTCCTAATCTTGGACGTATATTTTGTGGTACAAGATAATTAATGCTACAATTTCTATAGCTGTCAATGCTCCATCTTTAAGTCTTCACACTTGAGGCTTAATCGCAATTTCACCTCCACATTTAAATTTCTCTATAACTTATAATAACTTTCAGTCTAGGATCCTACATTACGGAACTATACATCAGACAAGGTTAGATTGAGAAAAATGACATCTTAAACTTATAACATACGAATATGAGTGAGACACTTCTTTTTGTAAAACAAGATATATATATAATCATGGACGTATCTTTTGTGGTATGAGACAATGCTACAACATCTATGGCTGTCAATGCACCATCTTTAAATCTTCATCCAACATCTATGCTTTCCTCAAATATTACACCATGTTTTATTGTTGAGATTTTGTCATTTTTTTTATTTTGATGGCCATAAAATCAAATTTAATTATTGGAGATCAAACTTAATCACAAAAGTAATTACATGTAATTGACTTAATTAATGGAATACTTAAGTGTGCTTGGTATCTGTGTATTAGGTATCTGATTAAGACACAGATTACAATATTGATTAGGTGTCAAATGCAATCGAATGGTTCTGAAAGTATTTGGTGGAGTCACCACATCAATTGTCTCAGCAAACATTGGTGCTTCTTGTTGGGCCATTTCGACCTTGCTTAGAGCATAATCATTTCTGAATGCAAACATTGGTTTGGAGCTTCTTTTATGGGCAAAGCAGATTCAAAAATGGAGCCCAGAAGCTTTTGGCTTGTTTTTGACACCTTTAAAGAAGTCATGTCCATGTCCAATAAGTGGACCACTAGACTCAATAACATTACATTACAGATTGTTCCGGGGACAGTGACCATTTTATCATGTTTGGACAAAAAAATTACCAGACTGCCGCGCTAACAATAAATTTTGTCAAATTGTCACGCGGCATAATTCGCTATACAGTGTAGCGAATTATGCATGCAAGTAATTCGCTACACAGTGTAGCGAAATATGCCTCGTCAGAACCAAAAAGTGTCATGTGTCAAAATTGTTG